ATTGACTACCAAGAGCACCGAAAATAAACTGCCGAAGGAGATGCGATAGGATAGAAATTACCTGTGGTGCTCAAGGCCGACAGAAGATTTGGTAAAACAATTCACTTCTGCAAAAGAGCTACACTTGGTTGGAAGTACTTGTGATTAAATACAAAAGATAAACTCTTTTCGTCCTATTCTCCTCAACGTGAACTTCCTTGAACTTTAATTGATTTTACTCGTGGTAGATTCTTCTAGGAAATCTCCAAACACTCGACAAACTTTTTCTTCGGTGACCACATTTACTTTTGGTGCTCTTCGCAAACCACAATGACTCTTGGTTGCTGAAGGCTTTGACTCAGAGATGCCAGTTACTCTTCATCACTCAAGCTAACGCCTAACCGTGTAGAGAGTTAGCAACTCTCAAGAGTAATAGGCACAAGAACTCTCAACTTAGATCTATTGTGATGCTCAACCACTATCTAAGTTTTCGGCTCTTGATTTTCTCTCAGTGGATTTTAAACACGAAACTCTCAAAGAGGGGTGCTCAATCAATATTTTCGGAATCTCAAGCAAAGTAGCCAACGAACAACGTTGGTGCAGGGTGGCTATTTATAGCCACAACCTTCCTACAAGGGAAATGATCATTTAGGACACGTGGTCCATCTAATGGCCAATCGACACGTTTCCAACGATCATATTTCAAATGCACACGGTGATACATCTCCAACGTATCTATAAATTATGAAGTATTCATGCTATTTTATTATCATTCTTGGATGTTTTACAATCATTTTATAGCAACTTTATATCATTTTTTTGGGACTAACCTATTGACCCAGTGCCCAGTGCCAGTTGCTGTTTTTGCTTCTTTTTTACATCGCAGGAAATCAATATCAAAGGGAGTCCAAACACCGTGAAACTTTTTGAGGATTTTTTATGGACCAGAAGACTCCTGATGGGCTAGAGCAGCACCTGGGGGGGTGCCCCGAGGGGGGCACAACCCACCAGGGCGCGTCTGGGGGCCCAGGCGCGCCCAGGTGGGTTGTGCCCACCTCAGTGGCCTCCCGCACCCCTCTTTACCCTATAAATTACTAAATATTTCGAAAATCCTCGGGGTTAACCTAGATCAAAAGTTCCATCACCGCAAGGCTCTGTACTCCACCGAAAACCAATCTAGACCCCGTTCTGGCACCCTGTCGGAGGGGGGAATCATCTCCGGTGGCCATCTTCATCATCCCGATGGCCACCAAGATGAGGAGGGAGTAGTCCACCCTCGGGGCTGAGGGTTTGTACCAGTAGCTATGTGTTTAATCTCTCTCTCTCTCTCTCGTGTTCTTGAGATGTCACGATCTTGATGTATCGCGGGCTTTGTTGATATAGTCAGATCATTTGGTGTTTTCCCCTCTATATCTTGTTGTGATGAATTGAGTTTTTCCCTTTGAGATTTCCTTGTTATTGGATTGAATACTTTTATGGATTTGAGAGCACTTGATATATGTCTTGCATATGAATACTCGTGGTGACAATGGGGTATCATATTGATTCACTTGATATGTGTTTTGGCACTCAACTTGCGGATTCTCGCGATGACATTGGGGTAATCTACGCATAGGGGTTGATGCATGTTCTTGTCTTTATTTCTCCGATAGAAATCTTGGGACACTTTTTGAGGTTCTTTGTGTTAGATTGAGTATTATGAATCTGAAATTATTTGGTGTTATTTTAGTACGAACTCTTGGATAGATTGATCGAAAAGAATAGCTTCGAGGTGGTTTCATACTCTACAGATAATTTCTTCTTATATTCTCCGCTAGATAGGAACTTTGGAGTGATTCTTCATCGCACTTTGAGGGGTGGTTATATAATCAAATTATATTAGCATTGTTGAGAGATTGCACTAGCGAAAGTAAGGACCCTAGGCCTCATTTTTAAGCATTGCAATACCGTTTTTGTGCCCATTTACTATTTGCTACCTTGCTGTTTTTATTTATTCAAATTATAAAATATATTTATACCATCCATATTACACTTTTATCATCATCTCTTCGCTGAACTAGTGCACCTATACAATTTGCCATTGTATTGGGTGTGTTGGGGACACAAGAGATTTCTTATATTTGGTTGCAGGGTTGTTTGAGAGAGACCACCGTCATCCTACACCTCCCACGGATTGATAAACCTTAGGTCATCCACTTGAGAGAAAAATGCTACTGTCCTATAAAACTCTGCGATTGGAGGCCCAACTCGTGTCTACAAGAATAAATTTGTGTAGTAGACATCACACAACAACTTTACTTAAGGAACAAGTAAAGCTGACTCATCTGTCCGAAACATATCTCTCGCGGCCCATAAGAACAACATCTTTGGCTGGCGAGTAAAGTTTCAGACTACAAAGAGATTTCTCTCAGTCTTCCATAGGATTCGGCTACGCATCACAATAGACTTAAGTATCAAATACCTATAACCCTTTTAATAGTATGGTGGTCCTATGACTCAAATAAGAGAAAGAAGAACAGTAAAACAAATACTACGTCCTCTCTTCACCTTCAATCTTCTCGGACACTCCGAAGAACAATTGCTTCACTTCAGCAATATGTTTTTGGGATCGTCTCCGACACAAAATTTTCTCGATAACAAACTCTTCGAGACATGACAATCTTTTCTACAGCACAGATAACTTCCGAGGAAGTTTATAGCAAACTTCTCGGAAGTAGCAATCTTCTCGATATTAAGCTTCTCGAAACATATCAATCTTCTTTGGTGCAGATAACTTTTACAGAAGTTTGTAACAAACTTCTAGGAAGTAGCAATCTTCTCGGTAGTTTTTGGGAGATTATAGCAATCTTCTCAGTAGTCCAGGGATTATTTCTCTTTGTGCACTAGAAAACAAATCAGTCCCAAACTGTTTCTAACAACAATCTCCGAAACGCAAGGGGCAAGGAATTGTACCTACAAAAAGGACGAGTTGTCTAATCCAAATAAAAAATGTGGGAGGCCACGACCTCATTTTTGTCACGTTTTTGTTTTCGCTTTTATTCTTATTTTACTTCTATTTATAGTTCCAAATATTCTAAATAAATATTTAGAAAATAAATTAATAAAATATTTTTTAAAAATGTTAACCAAGCATCTGGAAATTGGTAAATGTGTATAAAGATTTTTTTTTTCGTGTATATGAAAAATGTATACAAAAATATAAAATGTGTGAAACAAATTGTTCATGTCTTTTTAAAAAATTAATCAAGCATTTCAAAAAATGTTAAACAAGTATTTTAAATTTTTTAGTTAAGCATTAAAAAATGTCTAATTTGTATAGAACAAATGATGACCATGTATTAAAAAAATCAAAATTGTATTTGAAAAATGTTAATCAAGGATTTTAAAATGATAAATGTGTATAGGAATAAAATGTTGTCATGTATTAAATATGTTAATCTTGTATTTGAAAAATATTAAGCAAGCATTTGATTTTGTTAATGTGTATGGAAAAAATATTGACCAGGTATTTAAAAAATGTTAACCAAATATTAGAAAAATGCTAAATGTGTATTAGAAAAAGTTGATCATGTATTTAGAAAATATTAATCAACCATTTATAAAAATTATACAATTATTTAAAAAATGTTAATCAAGCATTTGAAAAATATTAAATTTGTATAGAGATACTGTCGATCATGTATTAAAAAATGTGAATGTTGTATTTGAAAAAAGTTAATCAAGCATTTCAAAATGCAAAAATGCGTATAGAGAAAATGTAGACCATGTATTAAAAAAAGTTAATATTGTACTTGAAAAGTGTTAATCAAGCATTTAGAAATATTTAAAATATGTATAGAAAAATGTTGACCATGTATTACAAAATGTTAAACTTGTATGTAAAAAATGTTAAACATGTATTACAAAAATGTTGTTGACATATACAAAAGAATGTGGAATGAAAGCCAAAGAAACAAAGAAAAATAAAAATAACAATGAGAACCAAAAGAGAAACAAAATAAACCAAAGGAAAAACAAAACAAAAAACAAAACGAAGAAACAAGTGCAAAAAGAATGAAAATTAGTGAAAACCGAGGAAAACAAAAAAGAATGAAAACAAAGAAACTCGAGAAAACAAACAAAGAAAAATAACAAAAGAGAAAAAACCAATGAAAACCAAGAAAGAACAAAAATAAACAAAGGGGGAAAAATAAGAAAAATCATTAAGAACCATAAAAGAAACAAAGAGAATCGGTAAAAACAAAGGAAATAGAAACCAAAGAAAAAGTGCTGAAGAAACAAAAGAAAACCGAAAAAATAAAAATAAAAAGAAATGGAATAGCAGAAAAGCCAGTACTCCCGCCGAGCAAGCGAGTGATCTTTTTTTTCTTTAGACAAATCTTTTCTTAGGGGAAGCGAGAGATCTGACCTTTCTTTTGTCTTACCACACTCTTTATTACGGAACATAGACAAGGTTGATGGGAATTCAATTTAGGTCCAGAGTATTAAGGAGCCACATATGGCGTCCCAATGAAAATCCAAGATCATGCTTAGCGAGGTTGTGTGCCTCAATATTGGTATCTCGTCCTTCGAAGATGAAGGAACATCTGACAAAGTGTCTTGATGCCGCTATAATCTCCTTGACAATGCTTGCACACTGGCCTCCCATACCTTCTTTGATGGCATTTACCATACTTTTGCAATTTGATGCCATGAACACATGTGACAGAGAGAGGAGTGCTATACTCGCTATAAGCGAGATATAGCATTCGCGCTGTTTTGGGGTCACGGCAAGGAAGATTGAGAACCCACCCAAGCGGCCGACAACGGGGACGGCCCAAGCCCAAGCTTGCTACAATTCCGCGCGATAAATATCACAACGACCTTCTCTTCCCCCTGATCCCTCAAAAAAAAAAAAAACCCTTCTCTTCCTCCTTTTGTTCAAAATTTGAACGGCGCCGCCATCCCCCAAATCGCCCCGTTTCCCCACCAATTCCCCACCCCACCTCGCTCCCCCAAGGTCGGCAGCCGGAGCGAGCGCGATGGCTGAACCCAACTCGTACGAGGAGCAGCGCAGGAGGCAGGTGGAGGAGAACAAGCGGAAGCTGGAGGAGCTGCGCCTGCACCGCCTCTCCGCCGCCGTGCGCGAGGCCGCCGTCAAGCCCATGCCGGTCAGTTCCACCCCTCCTTCCTCACAAAAGAGGTGCTTCGCTGTCCGGTTCCTTACCCCGTCTGATTTGCTTGGTGCGGCAGATCCAGGAGCTGAAGCTGCGGTATCTTCGCCCGCCGCCGCCCCCGACCCGGCGGTCCGGCCGCGTCGCCAGTCTCCCCAAGCAACCTGATTACCGCGACAAGAAAGCCCCGAGGTACACCCATGTCTCACCCAAACTGTTCCTCCCATCGAAATTTGTGATGCATAGGAATATGGATACTTATACAGGTCTAAATCTTGCTTAATTTCAACAGGGCATATGTTAATAGAAGGGGATTACCACCTGATCGTGTGTACGCGACCGACGAAGCTAGAGACTACGCCTTCACCAAGGCCAAAGAGCTCAATAACCTGCTGTCCTCTGCTCACCCCTCCTTCATCAAGCCCATGACCCATTCTTATGCCACGGGTAGCTTGCTGGTAAAGCAAGAAGACTACAATTGACGATGCATTATTTCCATCCCATCTAGACGGTAATGGCTTACTCGATGTTGATTTGGCCGGATATCTTGCAGACAATCCCGCGGCAATTCAAGAAGAGCTATCTCCCACGGTTTGATGAGATGATCTTTCTGGTGGATGAAGAGGATGGGGAGTTTCCCATGCCTTACATTGCCCAACATGGTGCCATCGGCACTGGGTGGAAAATGTTTGCCATCGGCCACAACCTAGCTGATGGTGATTGCTTGGTGTTCCAGCAAGTCCAGAGGACAAAGTTTAAGGTGAGATTCTAGAAGTTGTTCTAGAGCCATGTTTGGAACTCGAGGTATCTCTTAAAAGTTAAAACCACATGCGGTTTGAGTTGATAAGTCATTTCTTATGGACTTCAAAATGAGCATTATATGATTCTAAAGCTTCTAAAAAAATTGATTGCTGAGTTACTGGTGTTATCCACATGAATGTTCACATTTTAAGTTCGATGTTTTTGTGCAGTCAAACAATGATGTGATGTTGATCGAGTTACTGCATTTCGAAACTGGAATACAAATGAACAAAAAGGGATCATTAAGACATAATGATGGGGACGATCCATGTATATTAATTTACTATGACTAACAATGCAACCTCTATTACATAAATGATGCAGGTCTACATAATTAGAGCAAGTTCCTACTACGAAAAGGACCACTGTTGACGCCTTTAGCTTCAACTATTGCGACCACAACAGGTAAGTTGATCTTACCATCATCTCACTGGTTCGCAATAATTCAAGTGTTAAAAAATATAATTCATTTCTGTGTGCTATGTAACCATTTCTTTTTACTATGATGCTTCGTGCCTCAACCTTAATGATTCTTTCTCCATTTGATTTCCAAGATGTTCTTGAACAGTTTACACTTTTACAGTTTACCATACAATAGTCTTGAAGAGGAAATTCTGGTTTACCATTTTTTTTATCCCTAGATGCTCCTTGTTTTGCTGTTGTGCACGGTAGTTAAACTATGACGGTTTAAACATCATGTTGAAGGTTAAACAGTCAATTTCTATAAAAGAATTAACAATACTCTATGAATCATTACTTCCAAACTTATTCCACTTCTCTGTAGCCATGTTAAGTTGTTCAGTACTCCGCCATCAACCAGCACCTGTGCAAAGCAGTATATTGTAGAGATGTAAAGTTGCTATTTTGCCTTTGTGAGCGCCGAACATTAGCCTGACTTGGATATCATGTTTCGGTTCCCATAAAAATTATACTCCCTCCGTCCCATAATATACGGAGGGAGTAGTATCCATCTTTTTTTCCTTATAAATTGTGTAGACTAATACATGTAGAACTGAATCAAATTAGTTGCTTCACCTTAGCTCCCGCAAAAAAAAAGTTGCTTCACCTTAGCCTTTATACTATCTAATAACTAATTGGTTTGCTCAGTGCCTTGCAGGATGGAAATATATGACTGAAGCGAAGATCAATGTGTCATGTGGGGCACGTCCTACAGGCGTGGGCCATGCGGCCAGGAGCAGCAGCCGTCGGCCGCATCAGGCGAGGCGTAGGCTGGGCAGGAGTCCTGGTCCTGATACATTAGTTCCTAGAATAAAAGACTAGTTTGTTATGTATAGGTTTCTAGTTTGTTAGCAGCCCATGGGGCCTTTATATATCGTATAATCAGCACCCTTTGAGGGCAAGCAATAAAGTTATTATCTCCTACCTCTTCCTCCGTCTCCTATCCTCTCCTCCCGCACCATTGAGCAGCCAGGCAAAAACCCTAGCGCTCCTATCCACCGGGACTACGAACTACGTAGTCGAGGCCCCGCTGTCTTGGGCACTGAGGCCCTTGACAACTTGGTATCAGGTTCCAGCCGCTCCTCGGCCTCCTCCACGCTGCGCCCGCCGCCCCGCCCACCTCCATCGCCGCCATCCGCCGCCGCCTCGGTTTCTTCCGCCATGTCGGAACCCACCACCGCTGATTTGGCCAAGATGATCGAAGCCCTGACTGCAACCGTGACATCCCTGCAGTCGTCCGTGGCAGCCCTCCAGAAGGAGAAGTCGGCCTCCTCGTCAGCCGCCGATATCAGCCACGACGGACAGCACCACAACGATCGGCCCCCGCGGTTTCAGAAGATGGACTTCCCCAGCTGTCCTGAAGTTTAATCTATTAACATGGAATGAAGAATGGTAGTGGAAACAAAGTATTTCATTTGGTTGGGTCTTTGTCTCTAGAAACTAGAAAATGTACCCTTTTCAGACCTTAAATGTATTCACCTATGTATTTTTGGGTATATTCGCTTTTAAATTATTTAATGTGCCGATGCTTTGGCTTCTGAACATACTTTTTTTTGGCCGATGCTTTCGCTTTTGAACATACTATACAGCTTTTTGTAATGCATGTCGTATAGTATGTTGTATTTTTTTGATGTAATCATGCATGTGTATGCACAGTCATTGTGTCAAGATGTTATCACAACAAAAAAAATGTTGGGATGCCAATCACAACAATTTTTAGTGTCCCACCACAATCGTTTTTGTTCCTACCACAACAGAACATTTTTCAGTTGCAATAGTCTATCACCAGTTCACCATGGTAGTATTCTTTGGCGAGATAACCATTTGCTATGGAATAAACCAAAGCATCATCTTATTATTGTAACAGTGCCATTTGGGGTGTATTGCAACTGGAAAAATCCTGTAAGTGAGTATATTTGCAAATCCTTCATTAACTGATTAGTAGCCTTTTCGCAACATCAACCTAGTTTTCCTAATAATTAATCCTACTTGACTAATAATTTGAGGATGCTAAGGTGATGACACTCTAGAACTGTTTTTAATGCACCATACAACAAATGAGAATCACCATCAGCCATTAAATGTCTAAAAGCTTCAAACTTAAGTACTCCCTTTCTTCCAGTTTGTTAGGTCCATCTAAAAAACAAAAATTTCTTAATTGTAAGGCGTGGTGTCTTGGGGATAGGCAAATTTCGTGCACTAAATTATGCCAAACTTTGATTCTCAACATAGAATCAACCATTGCGCCATGGGTCGTGCGTGTAACATTAATATGCTCTTAGGGCATCTCCAATGGCGACCTCGAACCACCCGCATACGCCCGGACCGAGCAGTCCAGACTAGTTGTGTCATCCAACGCGGTCTTGTATCTGTCCGCCGAGCGGTCCGGTCCATGTTTTCCCAGCAAACTGGAACCAAACATGCACAGGGGGGCTTGCGGGAGTTCACATAGCAGACACGTACGACTCCGGTACCCCCGACCCACCCAAAAGGCAGGCCGAGCCCATGCTTTTGTAGCTGCCTGCCCTGTTTCCTCGGCAAAATCCCCACTCTCTTCTTCCATCCCGCTGCTCTCCACCCAATTCCCGCCATTTTCTCCCACTCTCTTCTTCCCACCCATTGCCACCGCCGCATGGAACTGGAGGAGAGCCTGCCAGAGATGGAAGAAGTGGTGGAAGTGCTGGAGGATCCGAACATCGCGCTCGTCCGGAAGATCAACTTAGCGACGCTGCAAAATCGCTGCGTCAAAGTCGTCGCGTCAAAGCAAAAGCCATAGAGGAGGAGAGCCTCAAGAAGCGGGCCACTGGTGGAGGGCGTGTTGGTGCCAAACTAAAGGAAATATGCCCTAGAGGCAATAATAAAGTTGTTATTTATATTTCCTTATATCATGATAAATGTTTATTATTCATGCTAGAATTGTATTAACCGAAAACTAAGTACATGTGTGAATACATAGACAAACAAGAGTGTCACTAGTTTGCCTTTGCTTAACTAGCTCGTTGAATCAATGATGGTTATGTTTCCTAACCGTAGACATGAGTTGTCATTTGATTAACGGGATCACATCATTAGAGAATGATGTGATTGACTTGACCCATCCGTTAGCTTAGCATGATGATTGTTTAGTTTGTTGCTATTGCTTTCTCCATAACTATACATGTTCCTATGACTATGAGCTCATGCAACTCCCGAATACCAGAGGATCACTTTGTGTGCTACCAAACGTCACAACGTAACTGGGTGATTATAAAGGTGCTTTACAGGTGTCTCCGATGGTGTTTGTTGAGTTAGCATGGATCAAGATTAGGATTTGCCACTCCGATTGTCGGAGAGGTATCTCTGGGCCCTCTCGGTAATGTACATCACTATAAGCCTTGCAAGCAATGTAGCTAATGAGTTAGTTACGAGATGTAGCATTATGGAACGAGTAAATAGACTTGCCGGTAACGAGATTGAACTAGGTATTGAGATACCGACGATCGAATCTCGGGCAAGTAACATACCGATGACAAAGGGAACAACGTATATTGTTATGCGGTTTGACCGATAAAGATCTTCGTAGAATATGTAGGAACCAATATGAGCATCCAGGTTCCGCTATTGGTTATTAACCGGAGACATGTCTCGGTCATGTCTACATAGTTCTCGAACCAGTAGGGCACGCACGCTTAACGTTCTGTGACGATCGGTATTACGAGTTTATGTGTTTTGATGTACCGAAGGTAGTTCGGAGTCCCGGATTTTATCACGGACATGACGAGGAGTCTCGAAATGGTCGAGACGTAAAGATCGATATATTGGAAGCCTATGTTTGGACATCGGAATGGTTCCGGGTGAAAACGGGAGTATACCGGAGCACCAGGAGGTTACCGGAACCCCCCCCAGAGGTATATGGGCCTTATTGGGCCATAGTGGAAGGGAGGGGAAAGAAGCAAAGGAGGGGGCGCCCCCCCGAGGGAGTCCTGGACTAAGGGGTCCTCGGACGTCTGGCCTGATATCCATGGGCCGGACTGATGGGCTGTGAAGATCGAAGACCATACTCGTGTCCGGATTGGACTCTGCTTGGCGTGGAAGGCAAGCTTGGCGACCGAAGATTCCTTTTTATGTAACCGACTCCATGTAAACCCTAGATCCCCTCGGTGTCTATATAAACCGAAGGGGATAGTCCGGAAAGGACACCACATATACTCATTACCATATTCCTAGGCTAGACTTCTAGGGTTTAGCCATTACGATCTCGTGGTAGATCAACTCTTGTAATACTCATATTCATCAAGATCAATCAAGCAGGAAGTAGGGTATTACCTCCATAGAGAGGGCCCAAACCTGGGTAAACATCGTGTCCCCTGTCTCCTGTTACCATCGATCCTAGACGCACAGTTCGGGACCCCCTACCCGAGATCCGCCAGTTTTGACACCGACGTTGATGCTTTCATTGAGAGTTCCATTGTGCCATTGGCAGAAGGCTCGATGGCCCCTTCGATCGTCAATAATGACGCTGTCCAAGGAGGAACCTTCCTCCCCGGATAGATCTTCGTATTCGGCGGCTTCGTACTGCAGGCCAACTCGCTTGGCCATCTGGAGCAGATCGATAGGTATGCCCTTGGCCATCAGGTCAGATTCGGGAGCTTGAATTACGTTGCGGACATCCGTAGAGATTTGATCTTCGACGGATTCGAGACCACGGCAGCCGCTCCCCATTGCCTCGATGAACATGGCTTAAACTTGTCATCGGGCAACACCCAGGAGATAGCTCCTGTAGCAGCCCCGGCTTTAAATCTGGAGCAGATCAAATCGCCCGATGATGGGAAGCTTGACTCCATCACGGGGGCTACCGATTCCGCGGTGTTGGAGCCGCACGCAGATTCATCAACGAAACCCCGGACTCGCCTCTGATGTCGAACTCTGAACCCTGCGAGCCCGCATATACCAAACTCGATTGGTTATCGATCTTCAAGTTCAGCGCCGCGGATGTCTTCCAACACGCGCCCATGGGTGACATACTAAAATCGCTAAAAAAACCTATCCCTGGCAAACGACCCGTCGCCGAACTATGTTCGGTTCGAACTTTCAGCGGACGATGGAGAATTTTGTTTCCCACCCGCCACCCAGCTCGTAGCCACTGTGGAAGACCTAACCAACACGCCCGATCCCTGCCCCGAAGACATCGACGGTTTGGACGACAATGAGGGGCAAGGCCAGAGCTTATTACCCGCTCGACACGGGAAGACCACTTCCTGGTATGACATGTGTATGAAGGATACACCTTACGGCGCTCTCGATGATGATAAGGAGAATCCGGTCGAGAATAAATCGCCTGGTACACAGCCCGGAAACTGGCACCCTAGGCCACATCGCCCAAGAGAAAACACTACCAACACTAGAGAAGACGACACCCCGGAAAACAAAGACCCTGATGAGGTAGAATCTGAACAGGATGAACAGGAAGGCGGGCAGGGCAGCTCTGATGAACAGACCACATATGGGGACTCGGAGGACAGCAATTATCTCCCACCCTCCGAGGAAGAGGAGATCCTCGGCGATGAAGACTTTATCATGCCCAAGGAACCTCTCGAGCAGGAGCACTTTAAATGCCAGCTTATAGCCACTACAAGGAGCCTAAGAAAGAAGCAGCTGCAACTTCAAGCAAGCCAAGATTTGCTCAATGATAGATGGACTGAGGTCTTGGCCGCCGAAGAACACGGCCTTCGTAGCCTAGCCAAAAGCCACCCAAAGAATAGGTGGCTCCCTCAATATGATGGCAGGGCGATGGAGCCCATACCACCATCGAATAACGCGGCGGGCAGACCATAGTTCGGTCCAGTCAAAGCAGCAGCCCAAGCAAAGCACCATACCAACCAATCCGGCCGTCAAAACAAAACAACTCGGAGGAATACCCGCGATATCAACCAATACACTGAGGGTAGAGCAGGACATACACGATCAACGTACAGATCACGAAGATATATCCCGACCGGCGATGATGGTCGCCTATTCGGACGCTATAAAGCTGACCATGCCCGGGCCGTACACCGTAAACGGAACCCGCCTGAGGTGCTTCATAGTGTGGCCCAACATAGAGGATCCGCACACCCTCTCTGCTTCACTAACGAAGTAATGGAGCACGAATTCCCAGACAGGTTTAAACCCATCAACATCGAATCATACGATGGAACAATAGATCCCGCGGTATGGATCGAGGATTACCTCCTTCATATTCACATGGCCCGTGGAGACGACCTCCACGCGCATTAAATACCTACCTTTCAAGCTTAAAGGGCCATCTCGGTACTGGCTAAACAGTTTGCCAGAAAATTCCATTGGCAACTGGGAAGATTTGGAAGATGCCTTTCGAGGCAATTTCCAGGGAACATATGTCCGGCCATTATATGCCGATGACTTAAGTCACATTGTCCAGGAGCCCGGCGAGTCAGGCAGGGAGCTCTGGACCAGGTTCTTAGTCAAAAAGAACCAAATTGTCGACTGTCCGGACGCAGAAGCCTTTGCGGCCTTCAGACACAGCGTCCGGGACGAATGGCTAGCGCATCACCTCGGCCAGGAAGGACCCAAATCCATGGCAGCCCTTACCGCTCTAATGACCTGCTTCTGCGTGGGAGAAGACAACTGGCTGGCTCATAAAAGCAACGACGCTAGCAGCCCGAGCACCTCCGAAATCCGAGATGGTAACGACAAGCCACGACAAACCGAAGACAACAGTCACAGTAATATACGCGACACAGCGGTCAACCTGATATGCCAGCTTGTCAGAAGCCCGGTCAATGGAAGAAGACACTAAAGGCAAACCAGGATGGACCATCCACCCTCAACAGGATATTGGACCGACCTTGTCAGATTCACAGTCAACCTGATATGCCAGCTAATCATACCAACCAAAACTGTTGGGTCTTCAAGAAGGCAGGTAAGCTTAACGCTGATCACAAGGGGAGGAGGCCACCGGGCGATAAAGACGACGGATCGGCTCACCAGCAGAACGCCAGGGGCCATAAATAGTTTCCCTCCGATGTTTGACTACTCTCGGAATGCGAATAGCAGTCCGTCTTCCGCCACTCACATACTGTACTGGCAAAATTTGTACCACACGTACATCACTACGCACTCAAGATACCATGGGCATCGGCGGAAGCATAATACGGACACCCTGCAAGCATTCCCGTAACATTTTCTATCTGCTTACTTTATTTTTCTGTATCATCCCTAAATAACAGGTGACTAGCCGGACAACATCTACAACAAACTCTATCGGAGTCCAGATCTGTACGCTCACCTAAGGGGCTACTTCCGTTAAGGATTCCCCTCCTCGAGGACGGGCGACGCAGACGTGCGACAGGAGGTCCAAAAATAACTTTTTGTGGACCGCACTCTTTATTCCGAGCCTGTACTATGCCCTCTTTCCTCTAATCCCGACCCCGTGCATATCAAATGGCCGGGTTCGCGGTCTTTTCCTTATAATAATAATAATTATTATTATTATATATTTACATAAATTTACCATTGGCACATCGCTCCGTTCTTAGTAAGTCTCATCCGAACAAATTTTATACTCTTCCAACAATAAGTACGGCCTTAACGGCTGCTCTGCAGATACACCTCGGCATACTCTGCCAGGGGCTCGACATGGGAACGAATGAGCTGCCAGTAAAAGTCTGAACAACTCTATAGCGTACTTCGGTGTTGCAAGTTTGGCCTTATATGCATCAGCTCCGAATCATTGTCTTGGGTCAATAGTTGGGTTGCCCGGCTCCTATGTTTGCTACCCTACGTTCCACCCTATCGGCTAGGGTAGTAAAGGGAGAACTAGTGCGATTGTGCCCTGGCATAGACTGGATGAGCACCTCAGTAGAGAAAGCCGAAAACTGACTGTCATGATGCGGCGAGAGTGATAACCCACAAGTATAGGGGATCGCAACAATTTTCGATAAGTAAGAGTGTCGAACCCAACAAGGAGCTAAAGGCAAAACAAATATTCCCTCAAGTTCTATCGACCACCGATACAACTCTACGCACGCTTGATGTTCGCTTTACTTAGAACAAGTATGAAACTAGAAGTACTTTGTAGGTGTTGTTGGATAGGTTTGCAAGATAATAAAGATTACGTAAATAAAAAGTAGGGGCTGTTTAGGTAAAGACACAACCAAGTTAGTTTTAGTAAAGAGCTTTTTGTTACGAGAAAGTTATGTGTCCCTAGGCAATTGATAACTAGACCGGTAATCATTATTGCAATTTTATTTGAGGGAGAGGCATAAGCTAACATACTTTCTCTACTTGGATCATATGCACTTATGATTGGAACTCTAGCAAGCATCCGCAACTACTAAAGATCATTAAGGTAAAACCCAACCATAGCATTAAAGTATCAAGTCCTCTTTATCCCATACGCAAACAACCTACTTACTCGGGTATATGCTTCTGTCACTCACGCCACCCACCATAAGAAAATCATGAACATATTGCAAACCCTACAACGGGGATCCCTCATGCTTGCGCGACACAGAGAGCACCATAGGACAGCACTAATAATAAAACATGCAACTCAAACGAATCACGATCATCAAATAACCCATAGGACAAAACGGATCTACTCAAACATCATAGGATAGCCATACATCATTGGGAATAATATATAGCGTTGAGCACCATGTTTAAGTAGAGATTACAGCGGGTAAGAGAGAGGTTACACCGCTGCATAGAGGGGGGAAGAGTTGGTGATGATGGTGGTGAAGTTGTTGGTGAATATTGCGGTGATGATGATGGCCCCCGGTGGCACTCCGGCGCCACCGGAAGCAAGGGGGAGAGAACCCCCTCCTTCTTCTTCTTCCTTGAACTCCTCCCTAGATGGGAGAAGGGTTTTCCCTCTAGTTCTTGGTCTCCATGGCATGGGATGGGCGAGAGCCCCTCCGAGATTGGATCTGTCTCTCTCTGTTTCTACGTTCCCTGATTCTTCCCTTTCACCGTTTCTTATATTCCCGGAGATCCATAACTCCGATTGGGCTGAAATTTTAACACGATCTCTATCCGGATATTAGCTTTCTTGCGGCGAAATAAGGGCATCAACCGCCTTATGGGGTGGCCACGAGGGCCCAGGGCGCGCCCCCTGCCTCATGGCCCCCTCGAGCATCGTCTCGCGTTGATTTTTCTTCCCAAAAATCACATATATTCCAAAAAAATATCCGTCAGTTTTTATCCAGTTTGGATCCGTTTGATATGGATATTCTGCAAAACAAAAAAACATGCAACAAACAAGAACTGACACTGGGCACTGGATCAATATGTTAATCCCAAAAATAGTATAAAAAGTTGCCAAAAGTATATGAAAGTTGTAGAATATTGGCATGGAACAATCAAAAATTATAGATACGACGGAGACGTATGCATCCCCAAGCTTAATTCCTTATCGTCCTTGAGTAGGTAAATGATAAAAAAGATAATTTTTGATGTGGAATGCTACCTAGCATAATCTTGATCACATATCTAATCATGGCATGAATATTAAGACACGAGTGATTCAAAGCAATAGTCTATCATTTGACATAAAAACAATAATACTTCAAGCCTACTAATAAAGCAATCGTGTCTTTTCAAAATAACATGGCCAAAGAAAGTTATCCCTACAAAATCATATAGTCTGGCTATGCTCCATCTTCACCACACAAAATATTCACATCATGCACAACCCCGATGACAAGCCAAGAAATTGTTTCATACTTTTGACGTTCTTAAACCTTTTCAACTTTCACGCAGTACATGAGTGTGAGCCATGGACATAGCACTATAGGTGGAATAGAATGGTGGTTGTGGAGAAGACAAAAAGGATTAGATAGTCTCACATCAACTAGGCGTATCAACGGGCTATGGAGATGCCCATCAATAGATATCAA